AATGGATCTCAGCTGAACTGCTGCTCCAAACCTTGAAAGCTTAACCAGCTAAAAAGCTTCTAGTTTCTGGTCTTCTCCCTTATATACATTTTTGCTATCTGCCATCACTTCTTGGGATTAAAGGCATGAGTCACCATGCCTGGCTGTTTCCAATGTGGCCTTGAACTCACAGAGATCTAGAGGGATTTCTGTCTCTGGAATGCTAGGATTAAAGGCGTGAGTGCCACTATTTTCTAGCCTCTGTACCTAGTGGCTATTCTGTTCTCTGACCCCAGATAAATTTATTAGGGTGCACGATATTTTGGGGAACACAATACCACCACAAGGTTGTGCTGTTTTTTTCTAGAGTTGGTTAATAGCAACTATTAGTGGCTTCCTGGTTCTCCACAAGGTTTTTGTACCTTCTTTATAATTTGTACTTCTGTGTATAGCCCTGTGTTCTACTTGAGTGGGCCATTTCTTTCCTTCCAGAACCCTCTATCAGTTACTTTTTTGTTGCTGTGATGAAATGCCATGACCAAAAGCACCTTATAGAAGAAAAGGGGTCATTTTGGCTTATGAATCAGAAGGAGAAACTCTATAATGGTAGGGAAGGCTTGGTGGCAGGCAGGAATGGCCGCAGGGGCAGAAAGCTGGCTGGCCACATTACCACTCAAACACCGGAAGCAGAGGGGTGGGGGAGAGTAGAGAGGAGGTGAAGAGAGAGAAGGAGGGAAAAGGAGAGAGAATGGGAGGGAGGGAAAGTGAGAAGGAAAGAGAGGGAGAAAGGGAGAGAGTGAGAGGAAGAGGAAGAGAGGGAGAAAAGGAGAAGGAGAGAACACAGGAAGTGGGGTGAGATCATCAATACTCAAAGCTGGCCCCCAGAGATGTACTTCCTCCTGCAAAGCTCCACTTATTGAAGGTTCCATCACCTCCCCAAGTAGTTCTACTGCCTCTCACAACTGGAGAGCAAGTGTTCAAATACATAGGTCTATAGGAGGCATTTCTCAGTCAAAACACAACAGATCCTGATAGCTACTTATGTATATAGGGTATAAATAAATCCATTTCAGTGGCTGCTTTTCCTCTTGGAAATTCTGGCTGACACAGTTAAATATTCTATGTTTTCCTTTAATTTGGAAAGCTGACATTCATCTTGGATTATTGTTAGCCAAACCTGCCTTCTTTTTCTCTCCCCATTTGTCCAAATCCATTCTACACACACTGCTACAACCTCATGGTCTCTCATGAATGCCAATGGCTTCAGAGCTGGTCTCTACTCTGAGAAACGAGTTTACCTCCATTTAAATACAATATCCCCAGTCCATGGGCTCCATTCCCCAGGGTAACACCGAAACCACTAACTTCACCCATGTCTCAGGGCCATGCCCTTTGCTGTCCTTGACCCCACTCTCCAGTGTCTTACTGCGTCCCAGTGATCTTAAGATGAGGACAAGTATTGGTCACTGTCCGTTTTCTGCCTGTGTCGTCGTCACCTGCTAATTGACTGTCCTAAATCCATTGCTGTGCTTCCTAGCATCTATCACTTTCCATTCTCTTTTCCAGAACGCTGCTTCCTTGGACTAATGTATCGCCAACGAGTACCTTTTCCTCCCTCAATTCCCCAAATAAACCTACCCAACCATTCAACGTGTGTCATTTAGGAAGATGACAAGCACTGGTGAAAAAACAAATGTATCATGCCAGAATAAATGAGTATCAGTCTAAATTTAAAGCCAACGACCTCAGCTGTGTGCTCCGCTAATCTGTGAGGCAAAAGCTTTAAACCCTCTCATACTGTGCGTTCTAATTTATAGAGGCGGCAGCAGCAGCTACCTGATGGGGACTCCTCAAACTCCTCACTCCCTTACCTATGTATTTTCCTATTCATCCCTTCCTCAGCACTTTTAAGACTATTTATTTATTTTGCACGTATGCATGCATGCCTGGGTGTGTGTATGTATGCCATGTATTTGCATCTTTGGATTCCCTAGAACTTGAGTTATGTGCAGTTGTGAGTTGCCTGATGTGAGTGCTGGGAACTGAACCGAGGTCCTCTGCAAAACTGCTCAGCCATCTCTCTAGCCTGCTTCTTTGGCAACTTTTGTGACAAGGTGTTGTGTTCAAAGGCCCAGCTCCTCCTGCCTTCTCTGAGGCATGGTACATCCTATCTTCTCTCTCCTGTGCCTTTGACTTCTTCATATTTACAGGATTCTGCATAATATATTCCTACAACAAATGTTTGAAAATTTATGTTTTCAACCAGCTTCTTTCCTCCAGCGCTGCCAACAGCCTCCACCCCTTCATACTCTCCTGGAGGTGCTTAGATTCATGCACTAGGTCATTTTCAATCCTCTCCCTCCTCTACTTATTTGTTCAGTTTACAATATGTTTCATGTATGTGTATGGGGAACAGTTTAACTTATGGACACATTGCAGAATGTGTCCAATCAAGCTAATCAACACATGTAACACTACACCAACACCCCAGTTTTGAGGCACCGGGCACATTAAAGATATATTGGCAATTTCAAAACCATGTACTACATTAAGCATGGTTACCACACAGAGTAATAGATCACAAAAACTCACCCTTCTAGACCGACAGAAAATGTGTACCTTTTTCAAAATCACCGTCTCCTCTCTCCCCATCTCTCCTCTTGTCTCTGATAAACCTTCTATTCTCTGTTTCTACAAGATTGACTTTTTATATTCCATATATACAGGAGGACACACGGTATTTATCTGTTTGTGCCAGGCTTATGTCCCTTATCCTCGTTTACCCATATTGTGACTGGCAGAAATTTCCTTCTTTCAAACCTGTGTAGCATTACCTGATGTGTATGTACAACATTTTCTTTCTCCATTCACACACTGATGGACACTTATCCTCAGGTCTGCTGGGAATGTCTTTTGTATGCTGTGAATGTGTTGCTCTGATTGATTGATAAATAAAATGCTGATTGGCCAATAGCCGGGCAGGAAGTATAGTATAGGTGGGATAAGGACAGAGGAGAATTCTGGGAAGTGGAAGGCTGAGTCAGGAGATGCCAGCCACCGCTGCCATGAGAAGTAATATATAAAGATACCAGTAAGCCACAAGCCATGTGGCAAGGTATAGAGTTATAGAAATGGGTTAATTTAAGATATAAGAACTAGATAGCAAGAAGCCTGCCACGGCCATACAGTTTATAAGTAATATAAGTCTCTATGTGTTTACTTGGGTCTGAGTGGCTGCAGGAGCCAGGTGGACACAGGAAAACTCCAGCTACACAGGTCACTTATTATTTTGACTATTGTGAATAATACTATAATGGACGTAGGCAAATATCTCTTGGACATGACAATTATTTCATTTTCTTTGGTTATATCTGAGAAGGCAGGTTGCTTGATCATATGCTAATTCTACTTTCAGGTTGTCAGGTAATTCCCATTGTATTTCCCAGTATGGCTCTGGTTTCTATTCCTACCAACAAGGTGTAAGGGTTCTTCGTTCTCCATATCCTTGCCAACACTCATTATAAGTATTAGCTATCATTTGGGATGGGAACAGAGTAGACGGGGCAAGTGTGAGGTTAATTTTTCACTGTGTGTCTGCCTATATCATTTAGTATGTTTTTCTTCACATAGGATGTGTATAAACCACATTTTAGATTGTTTTACAAAGTAGGAATCAGAGAATTGGAGCTTTGTCCTCGTTACCATGGTTTTGCAGGTGTGATAGTTCATTTTCTTTGTCATCTGGACCTGACTTGTAGTCACCTAGGAGATACACCTCTGGGTGTGTCTGCAAAGGTGTGTCCAGAAAGGGTAAGCAAGGAGAAAGAGCCACCCTGAACATGGGTGATATCATTCCATGGGCTGTGGCCCTGGACTACATTCAGAGGGAGAAAGAAGGAAGCAAGTTGAAAGGCAACCTGAGAATGGATGCCATGTGACCAGGTGCCTCAAGCTTGGGTGGGGTGGATTAGAATTCATCATCCTGCAGAAAAGGGGGAAGCCCAAAGAAGCCTTTTCTCCCTCGGGTTTCTGTTGTTATCGTCAGCTATTTGGTCATGACAAAGAGGAAAGTCACGAACACAGCCTGATTTCATGAAGTGTGTACCTCAGGACCATCTTAAGATTATGTCTTACCGGAAGAACATCTAGCCTTCGTACTTTTGGGGTAGGTAGTAGGCGTTCTTTCACGCAGTCTCCCACAGGTTTCAGAAGATGTCTGCCTTCTAGTCAGTTAAGGCTGCTTGGGAACAGGGCAATATCAGCAGGTCTTCAAATAGGATACAGAATAATAGGAAGCATGGATCATAAAAGATGAGAGTACAGAGACAATCAGAAGCTAACAAGTCCTTCTTCTTCGTCACAGCAAGAAGACTTGCAGGCATTTTGATGTGACAAGAAATCACTGCAGGCTTGGGGCAGGAGGGGCTATCTCATGATAAGATATCCAAGGGAGAAGGTACAAGGCTCTAAGGACTGTAAGAAGCAGGTTAGGGCCCCATCCTACTCCTACAAGGGACAAGAGGGGAAGAATTCAAGGAGTGGGGAGCAGGTGAAACCTGGAGCAGCTGGGCTGGGTTGGCTGTGGGCTGTGGGTCGGGCGAGAGATGGAGAGGAGTCAAAATTAGTTTGATCCGGATTCCTCATTTGAGTGCAGGAGAGGTGGTGGACCAAAATCACATTAGGAACACTATAGCTCAGGGAAAACTGTAGTGGCCACCAATGGCATCTGGTATTGTCCTTCTGCCACTGTCTTAAAAGGGATTCTGAAGGGATTTTCTTTCCCTTGTTCCTCCAGCCCTCCACTTGCGTTACCAGCCTAAGTGGATACTCCCCAGCTGGCCACGTCCATCATCACAGTCAGGTCTGAGGATTCCTGATTATACTCGGGGCCTGTGGCGCTGCAGACACAGACAGTCGTTAGCGGACAACCCTATTGTAACAATCCATGCTTGACAATGTAAACCCCGGTGAATTTTCCTCAATTGTCCAGAAGCAACCTTCGCTCTGAGCCTGGATTAACCATGAGAGAGCTCGTCAACATTCCACTGTTACAGATTCTCACCCTGGTTGCCTTCAGCAGGACTGAGAAACTTCCAAAAGGTTGGTCTGCACTATCTTGCCTTAAAATGCGTGTGAGCTTCCTGGTGGCTGATCATACAATGATGTGTTTGGGTGAGGCAGGGGCGGAATGTATGGAGGAAGAGACGCGTTCTCCGATGGTGGTTGTCTTCTAAGCTCTGCGATTAAAAACAACATGATGCGTGCGGAGTCCTCCCGTTTAGGGAGATGTTGCCAGGTAGACTGTGAGTTATGGAGGTCTGTTCTGTTTCTGTGTGTGTCAAATGTTGGGGTGGTCTACATGGGTGATAGAAACCATTTCATGCTGGTTTGCCAAGAGTATAATCCAGCCCACTTCCAGATATCCAGAGTGTTTTGCTCCGAAGTAAAAACCATTTTTATTTTCAAGTTTAGCTTTTTACCAAACTCTTAATGAACATTTTAGTAGCTAGAAATCAGACCTAGAGAAATATGCACAGAAGGTCCCTGTAGAATAATAGCCTGGAGACATCTCCGTAATTTTGTTACGGGCGTTGTGATTTGGGTTTGAGGAGAGATTGCACTGGTTTTTTTTTTTTTTTTCAGTGCTTTGGAATGTACCGGAAATAACACCACCTAAGGGGGAAAGCAACTTAAGAAAGTGACAAACACCTGTCACAGCAGCAAGAACATCCACAGTGCTATGGTTTCTGGCCAGAGTATTATGACAGTTAGAATCAGGAAGAGTGGAAAATACGTGATTCGCAAAGCTGCTGGGTCTTCACTGAAATCTTTTCAAAGCAAGACACGAAGAGGCAGACTGAATGTTATTAATAGTGTTGTTAAGTGAGGAGGGCTGGGTTTTAGTCAGATGAATTATTTCCCGTTTCAACAGAGGTGCCAAAGCACTGAGGAAGTTTACCTTGAAGAATCAGTGAAGGTGGTGTTTGTGGGTGCATGGGAAACACAGCTTTAGGTTTGTAGTTCCTACAGTTTGGGAGGCAAAAGGTCAAGGATCCCATGTAAGTAACGACAGTGTTCTTTCCAAACAATCTGATTGCATGAATTTATTTTTTTATTTATTTACTTCTTGCTTCTCTTTTTCCGTTTTACTCAGACGAAGTGATTGGTATCTTCTAATGTACTAAATCATTTACATCACAATGCTACTTTAAGGTACCTTTAGATAAAAAAAGAATCCAGACCTTTAAAAATAGCTAATAATAGCCAGAATGACTTACCATTGGCTTCGGGTCATTCTAATACTTCCTGATCAGACCACGGATGTCCGGAAGAGCAACACCTGGCTGTTTGGACCTATGGCTCCTAATAGGTCTTATTCATTTTAATCTGTACCAAACAGTTACCTACAAGCGAGGCGGATGCAGTTAAACCCCAGCTTGTGAAGAGGGCAGCTGTTTTGAAGTTCTGAATCAAACCTGGTTGCACAAAAAAATAACAACAAACCCTCACCAAACACCTCTCTATTTGTATGCTAACTTAGAATCTGGAGAGAATTGACCTCTTTGTAGTCCCTAGCCGTCCTAAGCCTTTACTCAAATGCATATTATCATCTCTGTTTTGTTAACTTCAGAATCATGGCACAGGGTAGCAATACCAAGTATCCCAGCTTTTAAAGAAAACCACCAGGATATCCATCCAATTTGGCTTTTTTACAATGTGTTTGCTGCAAATTTTAAAGTTAAAACAATAATTTTCTTAGCCTACTCTGTTTATTGTAAAAATTGAAATTAATATTGGTTTCACTCACGTTGGCCTTGTCCCCAAACACCACTTCTAGGTGATTAGACATCTGTTCAATGTACAAGATGATTTCTGAAAGCAAATAACATCAGGAAACATGAAATCATTAAGATTTTAATGTTGTAATATGTGGCGTATTTTGTTAGAAAAGAGCCATTTGAATGTATTGTTCTCTTAATTATCAGTGAAGATGATGAAGATGTCCTGGCTGAACTTGCTCACGGCGGTTCTCAGTAGCTGGTAGAGGATAGGAGGGCAGTCTGTTAGAGGGTGTACTTGTTTAGACTGAAATCAAGGGACCTGCACAGTGATGTATCACTTTGTACAGTCCTGTTCGGTAGAGAGGGTGGGTTCCGAACAGATGTACTTAAAACAGGCCTGTTGAAGGTTAGGGAGAATATCCAGAGGAATCGTGTCTCCCTCCATACACTGTTTTTGTCATAAGATTATCCGGCTTTGTAGATTAATGGGTTATTATTTTAGCTTTCAATTATTTGAAATGCCTAGCATTCTGACACCAAAAGAACATCTTTGTCTTTCTAGATCACTTCAACTAGTGAGATTTTTTTTTAACGAGTTTAATTTCCTCACCTCAAGCAGGAGCTTTTAGAAATCATCATGTGTGAAAGCAGCCAACGTTTTGTTGAATTTCCTCAGCCATAAGTTTTAAGAGCACTTGCTGATTTATCAGGGTATATTAAGCATATGGTGGGGCGTAAAAAATTCCATAGGAGCAGAAGATTCACGTTAGCAGAATTGGAGTTATTTAATATGCACAAGGATTTCCTCACAAAATCCCGCCTTCAAAATGACCCATTTACTACCAAACCTATGGTGTTTAATGTCTAATTTCTCTTTAGATAAAGTGAAGAAGCCCTGTCTTTTAAATCACATGTATGCAGGGATAGGATTCACAGATTCCACTTATGACTCAGTCAGAGCTGACACAGCTGTTGTGAACGCCATCCAGGACAGCAAGTCCTGGGTGAGTGTTTCATACTGACACTCATTGTATGTGTAGGAAAAACAGCTGCTTTATGTCATTGCTCGTACGGTGGGGAAGGAAAGAGTGGGAATTTCATAATGTCTCTGAAGGTGAAGTAGGACTCGAGGCCACTGAGGAGGAACGAAGGGGACATCCTCGGACTGGTTCATTCAGGAAGACAACAGAAGTACACAGGCCCAGCAGAGCATCAAGGAAGGGCTGCAGATAGCAGTTTAAGAGTGATTCCAACCTGGGAAATGTTTCCCTGTGTCCAGCAAGCGCCACATGAACACAGGAGTAGTGGGGACAGGTGTTCAGATGAATTCAGGATCAGTGTTTTTCAGGGGCCATGAAGCTGAAGAGCTTGAGGGTACAGAATCTGGGGTTATGTGAAAAATACCAGATGCTGGAGGTCAGACAACCAAGAACGGGAAGCAGGTATTACGATTAATTTCCCCCTTCTGGTCCCCAACATCTTTAAGGAAAGCATGTAGTCTCTGCCTCAGTTTCCTTGTGGATGAAACAATGCCATTATCCACTGTCACACTAAGGCTTCCCCATGGTTGCTGTGAGGGTAATAGGTAGCATACTTTACTTGGGTCCTTACAGGGTGGTGGCTTAACCCAAAGGAACACCTCCGAGGGATGCAAACTGTGCCATTCTCGAAGGCTACACAGAACTCCCGTGAAAGTCCATCCTGATGGAATAATCGAGAAGGCATTCAGTTTTGAGGAATTAACGACCCAGCTTTGAAAATGGCTGCGTGTCATTCTAGGTTAATTGTACAAGTTACAAAGACATCGTAACAAAAATTCTCATGTCACTGCAATTAAATGAGCCAGCTATTAGGACACGTCAGATAACAATCAATACCTATTATTCTCTCTGGGGGATCTGAAAAATTTCCAATACCAAAGTGTTTGCTTAGACTGAAAAAATAAAGAAACAATGTTATATTGATAATAATTAGAAAAAACATGAATTTTTTAAGGTGTCAGCACCAAGTTTTTTCTTTTCTTTTCCTTCTTTCTTTTGTTTTGTTTTGTTTGTTTGTTTTCTAGTCAGGGTTTCTCTGTGTAGCCCTGGCTGTACAGGAACTCACTTTGTAGACCAGACTGGTTCAGAGATCTGCCTGTCTCCTGGGTGCTGGGATTAAAGGTCTGACCTCGCAGCTACCAATTTTCTTAAAAAGAAAAAAAAATGCACCTGACCTCTTTGCATTTGGGCATGTTCATTAGTCATGGTTCAGCCAGAAGTCGGTGTGTCAGCACCATGTTCTAAGCCCACAAAAGACAAAGGAAGGTAGGGTAGTATCATGACCTCCTCATCAACAGCTAGAATTCAAGTTAAGTTTTCTGTGGATCCTGAAAGGGTTGCATTCATCCTCATGTGTTTGTTGTTCGTGTGGTTCTTGGATCAGGAGAAAAGACAGAGGTCTGGTTTACACAGGCTCTGGCTGGGATGAAAGCTGGGTGAGGGGGAGAGCAAACAGGAAGAGACCTGCTGAGCCGATCACACCCTTCAGTACAGCTACATGGTGGTGTCAGCGAACACTTCAAAGGGAATTCAAGGGGAATTTGGATAGCTTTGGAAGATGGGCAAAATGGATCTGGAAAACTTAGGTTCTGCTCCTAGAAATTAATACTGATTTAAACCTCCCATTTTCTGTGCATAACCATGACTATAACACACATCTGCTCTGGAGTTCAGAGATAAGTTCTCTCTCTCTCTCTCTCTCTCTCTCTCTCTCTCTCTCTCTCTCTCTCTCTCTCTCTCGTGTGTGTGTGTGTGTGTGTGTGTGTGTGTGTGTGTATGTGTGTGTGTGTGTGTGCATGCATACACACACATTTTTATGTGTAAGTGCAGATATGTGCAAACTGAGGCATGTATGTGGAGATCTCTTGTTTGCCACTCTGTAAGGCAGGTTAGCTGGCCGGCCAGCTTCCAGGGATTCCAGTCTCCCTCTCCCACCCTCCCATAAGAGCTCTGGGATTACAGACACGCCTGTTCCAATCTCAGCTGCATGTTTACTCTGGGAATCTGAACTCGGGTCCTCATGGTTCCACATCAAGGACTTGCCCCACAGAGTCTTCTCTCCAGCTCAGACACGGGGCCTTTAAGCCACCCTTAACCCTGAAATTCATCTCTACTACTTCCTACTTTGGGGATGGTTACAAAAAATGATTTAACTATCCTTAGTCCTTGTCTAGTTTACAAATGCTTAATTGTACTTAACTCTTATTTATTTTTTTATAAATAAGATAATAAAGATGACGTATGAGATAGAGCACATAGAAGGTTCTTGAACAATTTTAGGTATTGATATTACTGAAACCAGAGTCAGACCAAGACTGTCACATCACTGAATGTGGGAAGATGTTAACACGATACTGCTCTAAGTGACACCTCGTGTGTTTCTCTGTGTCTAAGATTTTCAAGATTTTGCTGATTGTATCTTGGTTCTTCTATCTTAACTGTTCTCAGCAGAGTGGGTATCACCACCACCTCCACATTTCTGCATCTGTGCACAGTGAGAAAAACTGATGGATCAAGTTTATTTTTAAAATAAAAAATGACACATGGTCGTTAAGATTTATTTTGAAATGACAAAGTAGACAAACAAAACAGAAAAGGCTACTTCTGCTTCCAAGACTGTTGACACGCCATGTTTTTTTTTTTTCTGTTTTGCTCCTCTGCCTGACATGTTTACCTTTCACGAAAGCCTGAGCATTTTTTATTATTGCTACCCTTCAAAGCACTATTTTGCAATGATCTCATCCTGTCTTGTTTATCAGACAGTGTTCTGAAATATATTTAAGGTCCAATTTTCTGGGAAAAAAAACAATTCTACTGATTTGTCCTGCTTCTTCAGTAAAAAGATTCTAAACCACATCCAATTTCAGACAACCAACAAATCCTGGAGACAGTCAAGAATCAGCATGCACAGTATCGTTGTAGGCCATTTTCTCCATCAAAGTAACCCCAGAGCGTGGAGATACTGTAGTTCAAAAGCAACTGATGGATGTGTATGGAGGGGGTGTCCAGGTGTCTTTCTCGGCTGCTCTTCACCTTAGTTTTGAGACATGTTAAATCTTCAGCTCACTAATTCAGCTGGACTGGCTGGCCAGTAAGCCTCCTGTCTCTGCCTCTCTAAGGCTGGGATTACAGACATGTGCACCTGTACCCAGCTGTTTCACATAGATCCTAGGGGACTAAACTCAAGCCATCTCTGCAGCTTAGACATAATAGATTTTTAAGCATTATTTGTATTAAGCATTAATATAACTTAACTATAAATATATGCACTTTAGTTTATCAATAATAGCTATTTAACAGTTACTAGCAAAATTCCTGGAAAAAATAAAAAAGAGCAATTCATTCTTGCCCGTGCAAACTAGCTCCAGCAGACCATAGCAAGAAGACAAAACCACCTGCTCCCTTAGCTCACTTTACTCCATTAGTGCAGCTGAGGGGAATTCATCTGTTTCATGGCCCGAGTCATCTAACATACCTTTCTATGTGTGTGATCGCTCATTTGTGATAGATTCTAGGATATCAATAATGACTCAGCTTTTTTTGTGGGGCTGGAGAGATGGCTCAGCAGTTAAAGAGCACTGCTGTTCTTCCAGAGGACCTGGGTTCCATCTCCAAGACCCACATTAGGAGGCTCCCAACCACCTGTAATCCAGCTACATAGGATATGACCCCTTCCTTCCCACCCATTCCTAGACAATAATTAATGCATTTTTTTGCTCTGTAGGCTTGTGAATTGCACATGCTTTATGAATAGTATCTTATAACATGATCTTCTGTGATTATTTTCATATGCTTTGTTTTTTGTTTCCATGTTTCCTCTGTGTCATAGAATATAACACTTCTCTTATTTTTATTGCCAAATAATATCTCATTGTGTGTGTGTGTGTGTGTGTGTGTGTGTGTGTGTGTGTGTGTGTGTGTGTGTATATATATATGTTAATTTTGTTTAGCCATCTGATGGTGGGCACTTAGGTTCCTCCCATCTTTGAGATATTATGAGTAGTAATGCTATGAAAAGAGATGTGAAAATATTTGAGTATCTAAGTCTTCACTTCCATTTCTCTTGAATATGTACCTGGAAGTGGAATTGTTGATCATAATTCTCTTGATTTCTTTCTGTGGAACCTCCATACTCTTTTCCTCAATGACCACCATTTTAATTCCTACCCACAGTGCACATGGTTCTAATCTATCATCATCCTCACCAATGTTTGTTATTTTTCTTTATCTTTATAGCCACCGCAGCGAGTATAACTTTAATTTACATTTTCATTTCGTTTAAAAATTCACTTGTGTTTTTTTGTGTAGCTTGGAGCACATTTTCACATCTGAACACACACACACACACACACACACACACACACACACACACACACACACACAAATATATATGTGTGTGGAGGTCAGAGGCTGATGTGAGATATCCCCCTTAGTTGCTCTCCATTATATTTACTGACAACAGAGTCTCTTGCTGACTCAGCTAGTCTAACCAGGTAGGAATCTCCTGTCTCCTCCAGAACACTGACTTGACAGACAGGTCATCCCATGCCTAGTGGACTTTTGAACAGTAATATTCATTCGGGTATGTCATAGCTTCTGGCTGCTAAAGGATGAGTAATAAATGACGTTCTGGAAAGTTCTCCCTTGTTTCTGCTCTGTTTAGCTCCCGTCATCACCACACCTCTTGAAACTGTAGATGCCTTGGTGGAAGAAGTAGCAACTTTCATGTGTGCCGTGGAATCCTACCCTCAGCCCGAGATTTCTTGGACCAGAAATAAAATCCTTATTAAGTAAGTACTCTGCCTCATCTTGTGAAGGATGCCTGCTCTGCTTTGGAGTTTCCCACCCACAGAAATACACCCATACTGTTGGTGGCACTAAAGGTCACCTTCTAGAATATGTACAGTGAAAATATATTCATTTTATAATCGGGAGATCTGAAGTTCAGGGCAGATCACTGATTTATCCGACATGGGGAATGTCAGATGAGAATCCTGAAGCTTCCCAGGAAGCACCATGGTATTCCAAGTCTGCGGGGCATGTGTCCCAGAACACAGAGGAGCTGAGGGGGCCGCTCTGTATCCCCAAACTATGAAATCTATTGTCTGAGAATCTGACTTATGTGTTTTTTTCTTTCAAAATGAGACAGATTCTCAGACGGATAAAAGTCTCATTTGGCAGATAAAGGGTCTGCTTTTCTCTCTCATCACAATAGCTAGCTCACCAAAAATACTCTAAAAAAAATCTAAAACAAAGTGGGCGCTTTAGTAGGCAGTGTCGCAGCTGAATGCTCTCAGTCCGCAGGAGCTACTGTGGTAGAACTGTTAAGATTGGTGGTTTACAAACAACAGAAAATTATTTTTCACAGCCTTGGGGCCCGAGGAGTTCCAAGTTCAAGGAGCCAGCAGATTCAGGGTATGGTCAGCGGATGAAGGCTTACTCTTCTGTTCACAGATGGCCACTTTTACCACTGTCTCTTCATATGAGGGAAAGACATGAAAGCTCTCTTGGTTCTCTTCTATAGAGATGCTAGTCCCACTCACAAGAGTTCCAGTCACATGAAACATAAACACCTTCCAAAGGCCACATCTCAAATACCACCACATCTGACACTAGGCTTCAACACATGAATTCTGGAGGAAATGCTCATTTATCCATCCACAGTGAGTCCTTAAACGGTTGTCCATAAGCGGGGATCTACGAACTCGATGGGGAGAAAGGACACGCATATTCTCATTGTCTCTGACTGAAATGTTGTGTTTCCTTCTGTTTCACACACTCTGAAGTGCTGTGAGGCATCACTGGGTGCTACAGCCTTCATGACCTCTGCCAGGCAAGCTCTCTCAGAAGCTCCAGGACAGGACAGCTCACAAACAATTCAAACACCGGAAAACAGCCTTCACATCATTTGCAATTTGGCGAGATTGAGATTTCCAACTCTTGAAGCCTAAATTTCTACTTTTACTTGGCAGTATTTTTTTTTCTTCTCTTTATGAACAGCCTTTGGAAGACTTATTTAGTTTTATTTTACTTGTATGAGTATTTTGTCTGAATGTATGTATGTACATTTCGTACGTGCCAGTGCCCAGAAGAGGGTGTTGAGTTCCCTAGAATTGGAGTTACAGAGGGTTGTGGATTCTGGGAACCAAACCCAAACCCAGGTCGTCTGTAAGAGCCAGGGCTCTTAACTGCTAACCAACTCTTCAGACCCAGCAGTACTTCTCTTAAATTTTACTACAAACTTCCAAAGACCACCAGGTTGTAGCTTTAACATTGTGTCTAGAAATTTCCCTGGCTAAATGTGAGTCCATTATCCATAAGATCTGAATTAGAAATAAGTGTGAGGCATCATTTGGCTGAACTCTCTGCCTCTTCATTGAGGTTGCCTTTTCTTCTTTTTTTGGGGGGGTGGGGTGGGGTCAGGTAACATCCCCTGTTCTGTCTCAGCCTCCACAAATAGAGGTCTTACCATTCCGATTTTTATCAATAGTCCCTTCAAGTCAACTGTCAGCTAGTGATAATTTAGGCTTTCTCTAAGATGATTTAGCATTTCCCTACTATGTCTCTTAGACTCCAGTAGCTATCATTAACATACATGTTTCAGCTGACAGTCTTCTCTTATCATGCTGCTCAAAACTCTGCCAGTTCAGCCCCAACTGCCCAATTGCAAAGCCACACCTCCGTTTTCCGGTATTGTCCCAGCAGCGCCATGATTCCAGGTACCAACACTTATGTTTATTTTCTACTGTGACTGTCACGAGTGGTTACAAATGTAGCGACTTCAAACAACATACCCGTATTGGTTTACAGTTCCAGAGTGTGAGGCAATCTCCCTGAGCTAAAGTCAAAGCTTCAGTTCTTCCCGGATGCTCCATGACACAATCCTGTCTCACTTTTAAGAGTCCAGAGGCCACCTGTGTCCTCTGCTCCCTTCCTCTGTTAGTAAAACTAGCAGTCACACCACTGATTTCTCATGTCACACACGCCTCTGGCTCTCCTGTCTCTCTTGTCCATCTTAAAAGGATCTTTTTTGTTACTGCACTTGACCCACACGGATAATCTAGAATGTTCCATTTTAAGATTTTTTAATATGCCCAAATACCTCTTGCGATGTATCACAGACTCTGACAATGAAGACATGGATGGGTCTTTGGAGACAGTCATTCAGTGAACTGTATACATTTGATATTGAGAGTCCCTACTATGAAACAAACAAACAAAAAATCCAACAACAAAAGCCACTTGGATTTAGGTGGATGATCCCCTCCAACTATTTTCTGTTGCCTGAGTCCCTTCTCACTGGACAATTGTGTGTAATTAAATAGACTATGTATGCACCTACACATAAGCACACACAATATGTTTTTATATAGCTTGGAGCTCTTCTATTTCCTTATGCATCTCAAGGCAGAGGCAGAGAAGTGCCTGTTCATTGTTAGACATCTGAAAGTTATCTGTTTATAAAAAGGGGAAGTACTAAGGTTTTGGAGAGGAAGCGGGGAGAGATAAAAAATAATAAGGGTAATCAAAGTTTACTATATACATGTGTAGAAATGTCATAATGTAACCTTTTTTTGTATGATTAACGTTTGTTTAAGCACAAAAAAATGACTACAACTCACAAACACGAAGGTAATCGGTATGGTTCTGTTTAAGGTATTTATTCAGTCATTAATGGCTTCAACAAAAGGAAAGTCAGATTCTGTTAAATTTTATTCAATCATGAGCTCATTGCTCATCTTCAATTTATTAAAACATGCTACAACATTCATGATTATTGTATTGCATTAGAATAAAAAGGGATAGATAGGGAGATGGCTCAGCGGTTAAGAGCACTGGCTGCTCTTCCAGAAGACCCAGGTTTGATTCCCAGCACCCATATGCATTTCCTCACAACTGTCTGTAATCTAGTCCCATGGGATCTGACACCCTCTTCTGACCTCCATAGGCACTAGGCGTGCATGTAGTACACAGAAATAATGCAGGCAAAACACTCATATACATGAAATATAACATATAATAAAAGTAAAAATTATAAAAAGAAAGAAAAGTAGTTATTAAATGAATAAATGGATATTCAATTAATTGCTATTGATGTCTATAAATATTTAGTTCTTTCTGTTCATTGCAATTACATGCATGCTCCCTTTCCAGTTTTTCCCTTGTGGGAAAAGACTCATGCATCTTAGGATGGGAGGACCTGAATTCAAGCCCCAGAATATACACACTCAAAAGGAAAGTTCAATGTGGTAGTGGGTGCTTGTAATCCCACCTCCGGGGTGGGGCAGAGACGGGCTGATCCTTGGGACTCTCTGGTCAGATAACCTTGCATACTTTGTAAGCTCAGAACAGCACGTAAGCACACGCAAGCACACGCAAGCACACACAAGCACATGCAAGCACACGCAAGCACACATAAGCACACGCTTTCCTGTGTAAATGTTATACTTGTTCTTAGCAACAACCACCACCTCACAGAATTGTTTTGTACAACTTAGTAGTGCTTTGATTATGGAGCCCAGAAAGATCAGATCATAAAGTAGCTTTATTTTACTCTACTAAGCAAGATTATACAGTTCTGCAAAACACACATTTCCTCTAACCCTTTTTCCACTTCCTCCCTGACTGGTCATCCATTTGATCCATTAGTCAAAGACAGTGTGTGTGTGTGTGTGTGTGTGTGTGTGTATAAAAATCACAGATGGTACACTGATCCTCCACTATGCTCTGTGACCTGCAGGCTGTTTGACACCCGCTATAGCATCCGGGAGAACGGTCAGCTCCTCACCATCCTGAGTGTGGAAGACAGTGATGATGGTATCTATTGCTGCATAGCCAACAATGGAGTGGGAGGAGCCGTGGAGAGTTGTGGAGCTCTACAAGTGAAGATGAGTGAGTAGGAAAGAGCATCATCTATAACCTTAAAGCTGTCTCCACACAACTTGTATCAGTCATTAAACAGAGCATGCTGTATACCTGAAGTTCAGCAGTGACACAGCGCTCAAGTTCAAGGCCAACCCTCATTCCTGCCCCAGCCACCACCTTCGGGCAATCCTTTCGCTCACTCTCCTCTCCCACTTTATTTTCGACCTTCACGCAGCTCTTGATTATATTTGGAAACTTCCTTCTGAAATCATTATGCATTTTTTTTAAAAATTCATTTTTAAAACACTTATTTATTTATGTGCATATGTGTGCTGTGTGTGTTCAGCTATCCACAGAGACCAAAAGAGAGTGTCAGATCCCTCAGAGCTGGAGTTACAGGTGGTTGTGCGCCACCCGATGTGGGTGCTGGGAACCCAACACTGGTCCTCTGGAAAGTGCTCTGAAGTGCCGCACCACCTGTCCAGCTCTTACTGTGATTTAAAGAGCATAGTCCCATTACAGCCAACACCCTTTTTAAATCTCTCAGCCTTTTGTAGGTGTTTTTGCTTCTTCACTTACTTATTTTCTTCTGAGTGACTTCCTACTTAAATGGAGGATGTTCCAGTTTCCCTACCTCGTTACGCAGGTTTAGCTGTAATTGGGAGCAAATCTCCCATTCCTTGTTGCTGGTTTTAAGCCGTTATTCTCATCCTCCTGGGCAAGCACTTTTCCCTCATGAAGTCTTATGAGGTTCTGATCATTCTCTCCTCTAATTCCATCAAGCACTCACTCCTAGACACTCCGTACTCATCAGACGCCCCGATTCTCTCCTCCCTGTTAAATTAATTAAAAATTAATTTGTCTCTAATGGTTCTTTTCATAGTAAACTCAATTTCTTGGATGACACAATGTTCCCATGTTTCTCTAAGGGAAGTGCCAATGAATTTTTTAAGAAGACATTTTCTTACTTTATTTTTGCTTCATCCGAGATAAATTGTGATCTCCTCTCGGTCCATTTCTTCTTTGTTTTTCCCTCAAATGTGTTTTAGTCTTGCACTACTTAAGTGTAAGTTGAATAGAGTCTCAGATCACTTCAGGTAGAAGCTGGTGGGGCAGTGTCATCATGGGGAGGACATGTTTCATGCTCACCATGAGGAAGTAGGTGGCATGTGTCCACAGAAGGCTGTATGATGTGTGCCTCAACAAAGGAATCAAGGAAAGAGGCCAGCGCTGCCTCAATGACTGAGCAATGAAGGCTGAGTTCTGAAGATGAACGTCCTTTTGGGGGGACTGGAGCCCATTTCAGTAGTTCACTCTATTACTTTTCTTTGAATGTTGTTGTTCTCCCTCAAACACATTTTTTTAGCTTGGTTCTACACCAAATCCTCCCATCTCTCTCTTCCTTTCCAGCCCCCATCCTCACCTTAGGAAGGTTTACCTGTTTGTGTGGCTATTCATTAGTGTGGCCATTCCAATTGTCAAGTTTTGGAAGATTCCTAACCTCCACAATGATTCCAGTCACGCCCTTACCCTAGGACATCACTCTTGAAACCTCCTCAGGTTCAGTCTCGGGCTCAGGCTGGCACAGCAGGGGACCACCAGTACTTTGCTTCAATAAGCAAAGTGTGATGCAATGTCACGATCCCTTGACAGGAGCCTCCATACCTCCATGTGACTACTCTGACCAACTCCAGGTTACTTTTCAGTCAATTTCCCAAAGATGCTCCTTACCTTCCACCTTACAGGCGACTGAGACAGCTGTTTCTTTAGAAGCCAGGAGTTAATTCCTCAATACAGCAGATAGTTCCTTAAATCTCCCACATAAAACATTATCTGTGACTCAGGTTCACTGTGGGGGATCTTATTCATGGAAGCCAATGAAAGGAATATTGGAATCTTCTCTTTTGTAGTAATAAGAATGTCAACTCTTAAGCCAGGGTTTTGCCGATGGGTGTATAACAATACAACCCACAGTTGAGATGTCCAGCAAATACCTAAAATTGAAGTGTTCCCTACCATTAAGTATAAAATATTATTATAAATTCTAGAATACAGCCAAATGGCCAAGATTCACATTTTCCTATATAGTATTTTAAGCCTGTCTTGTACTTTTGCTACAATGTAGAACCATATTAACTGTAAGAGGAAATAAATGCCTTGATTAAAAACCAACAGGCATTTAATCTTTGTATATATGACTGACAATGGACACAAAAGGCTCCACAGCCCTCCCATATACTCACATGTGAGGAAAAAGAGAAGTCTTTATCCCTTGCTTATCTCTATCAAGGTGGCCTAATGCTCGCGCAAACACACACACACACACACACACACACACACACACACACACACACACACACACACACCCTTCAGAAATCTGTTCCACAAAGGCACCTCTCTGTTCTGTATCTACAGTATGAGATCACTAGGGACACGAGGCAGCTTAATTACTTTATGAGTGCTCTGAGGCATTTGAACCTCTCAGTTCTACATGTTAGATTTAATAACTTCTTTTCAAAACTTCCTAGTGGAGAATAAAAATGAACCAATATCACCTGTTTCTTCAGACACATTGGCCTGAGTGCTGGCAGAAGGGTAAACTTCTCTTTGTAGAATTTTGATTCTCCAAACTGTGTCAGAAGCTTTTTCTAGCTACTAACATGCTTTCTAGAGAAAGCATCACATTTAGTAGTCAAAGTAAAGTGAGAACTAGACCTGGAAACAGACGCAGTCTCAGCACTTGGGAGCAGAGGCAGGAGGATGCCCTCAAATTTGAGGCCAGTCTCTTCAATACAGTGAGTTCAGGGTCATCCGAGCTATGTACCGAGACCTTCACTCAGAAAAGAAGTCAACGAAAAGATGGAAACTAAAGAGCAAGAAGGCCATAATTCAAAATGATATGATTAACTTAGGGTAATTTTCAAGTGTTTCACATCTATGGTATAAAGTATACAATGTTGAATTATTATGGAAACAGTTAGTGCTGATTGACTTTTTATTATGTGTCATTTAAAATAAGGAATACTAAGAAATTTCAGATATCAAGTACGCTTTATAAATATGAGTTTTGCAAAAGAAAATAGAGATTTTAACAAAATGGATCTAGCCATCCTTTAAGACGGATTTCCATTTGGTACCTCCTAATGAACCATGTTAGCCTTTGGCAAACTTCCTAATTCAAGATCCCAAAGATGATTCTTGGAATGAATAATAAGAATTAATTAGAAAGCTAGAACCCCTATTTCAATATAGATGCATTATCTTTTTATGTTCGACTTTCATTTTCCCCACAGAACCTAAAATAACTCGCCCTCCCATTAATGTAAAAATAATAGAGGGACTGAAAGCAGTTCTACCATGCACAACAATGGGCAACCCCAAGCCATCCGTCTCCTGGATCAAGGGGGACAGTGCTCTCAGGGTAAGTGATTAGTGTATTAAAATCTGTGTATAAGACAGCCTTTTTAAAGATAAATGTTTTACTTTTATTCCTGTGTGTGTGTGTGTGTGTGTGTGTGTGCATAAATGGATATGAGTACCCATGGAGGCCAGGAGAGAGTATCAGATCCTTTGGAACTAGAATTGAAGACAGTGTGAGCCACCCAATGTGGGTGCTGGGAACTCAATTCCAGTCCTCTGCAAGAACACCATGCACTCTTAATGGCTGAGCTCTCCTTCCAACCAGTATAAGTCATATTTTAAATATCTCTAAACATCTACTTGCATGCTAACAAACTTCTAGTATATGTTTTTCTCCATACGCATTAGCCAAACTTAAATTATTCGATTACTAATTATGCACCCTCGCTCTAGGGCATTCCAGTAGGAACTGTCTTGCAGACAGAAGAGATAGAAATCAGCAGCATTGGAGATAAAATGGGGCTGAGCCCAAGCAAAGCAAGGCTCGTTTTTCTTGCTCAGCTGAACAACTTATTACTATTATTTTTTAACATTGAATGCTTGAGACTTTAGGGATACCAAAGCTGAACCAACACCCAAGTTTTAGAACTGGCAGTTTCTGGGAGGAGAGAGATGAGGATTGGAAGGAAGAAAATGAGAAAACAAAGGTGAGAAATTAGAGCAAGGAGACTGGGAATGATAAGCAGAGGCAAACACATCTCAGCAATGAGGAGAAGTTAAATGAAAGCTATGTCATTTAGGCTGGAGAGATTGTTTCACGGGTCAGAGTGCTTGCTGTACATGAGTACCTGAGCTCATCTGCATCCACATAAGTGTGTACCTGTAAGCCCAGTGCTTGGAAGGAGGAGACAGGCAGATGGTGGGGCTTGCTGTCCGTCAGTCTAGCTCCAAACTCAGTTACGATCTTGGCTCAAAGGAATGAAGCAGAGAGCAATAGATCAGGACATCTGAAATCCACCTCTGGCCACATACATGCATATAGATGCACACATCTGCACAGGCATGTAGATATACCACATTCACACACACACACACACACACACACACACACACACACACACACACACACACACAAGATGTACTATTTATTGGCTTAGCTTGTAACACTTCTGTGTATTGTCTCCATGCTTACTAATAAATTATTATTCTGCATCATGATCATCTCCATGGCTTTGTCTCACCTGAAAATGAGATTACAGACTCTGTTCCCATCTTACCAGGCCGTGCACACTCCACGGGAAATATACATAGTTGTCAGCATATATCAAATAACTGAAACAAACTATAAATCTGATGAGCTTTGCCAACTCTAATGACAATATTTACACGCCATGGCTTTCCTTTTGTTATAAGTCTGGATGCATTTTCTACAATAAAAAGCAATATGACTGACTCTGTCCACCTTACTCAAGTTGCAGTGAATTCAAAAAGAGAAGATAAATCTCACATCTGAATTCCAAGGAGTAATTTTAAAATCCTCAAAGGATATGCATTCTCCTAAGGCTACCCTAAGGGTGTATGGTAAAGCGTGGTAACTGAAAGCAATGTTTTAAATTTTTGTCGTGCTTCGTGTTTTATTCTGGGGGTGAAATTATGGCTGTGTGTATACTAAGCACATTTTCCACCACTGAGCTACACCTCCAGTCCCAAAGCACAATGCTTTCAATCAAACAGACATAAACATGACTTTTGGAAGTCATGATTAGTGCTGTGTTTTAATGAGTTGAGGGGGGTAAAGGATAGATGCAGTCTCATGAGATCACTGAGATGGTGAATTGACATGATCTTGCATGGTCTCAGTAGTCTATGTTAACATGCATGGGTAGGATAGAGGCTGATATTTTGGGTATTAAGGACAGTGATAAATCAATGGAATAAGGCAAGTGTGTCTTTGACTGAGGCTGTTTTCAAACATGTCCCTGTCTTTGGCAGGAAAATTCCCGCATTGCAGTTCTGGAATCGGGGAGTTTAAGGATCCATAATGTGCAAAAGGAAGATGCAGGACAGTACCGATGTGTGGCAAAGAACAGCCTGGGCACAGCTTATTCCAAACTGGTGAAGTTGGAAGTTGAGGGTAAGAGGCAGCGTGCGTCCATCACCATCTGCTGGGAAGGCTGTGCTCTGGACTGAGAAAGATGTGACGTAGGAAGCTGTGGTTCATCAGCTCTGAGGGCAAGACTATGACAACAAAGAAGTCAGAAGACATATCCCTAGCATAAAAGATCAGGTTCTATCTATTACCCCAGATGCTGATAAGTTTGACCATTGCAGTAAACAAAATTCATGATAATGATAAAACAACATGGCACCATTTTAGTGTGACTTTTTGGCTTGGACAATTCCCTTATTTATAAATTTGGAGACAGTAATTTTATCTTTTAATACATTTGGATTGATTTCTAAACAATAGAAAAATGGAAAAATCTTTTTCAAATTAGGGCTTCACAAAAGATGAGAAAAATAAGATAATGAATCAAATATATAAAACATGGTCTTAATTCTGTGAACCATGTAGCAATTAATGCTTTCAACATAGTAATTGTTTGTAAAGTGTTTTTTTTATTAGTTAATTCAATAAATGGGTGGGAAAGATCCTTACTGAGAAACCAGAATCCAAACAAATTTTAGTGTTCTATTCCCTATTCATCTGGTTCTTTACCTAAAATTTTATCACATTTGGTTTAAAAATAGGAACTAGGATCCATATAGGAGGGGGGGTGGGGAGGAATGGGGAGGAGTAGAGGGAAGAAAAACTGTAATCAGGGTGTATTTTGTGAGGAAGCAAACCTATTATCCACAAATGGGGGCGGGGGCGGGGGGCGGAGGACGGGGACTGCCAGCAGACCTGTACTGTGTGAGCTCCTCAGGTGTGAAATCCTTTCTAACTTTTTCTGTTCTGAGCCATGGATTCAAGAGCTCTAACTTTTTTCTCCTCTGTAAAATCAAGTTTAAGGAATTAATAAGCTATTGATTATACCAGCAGTCTGGCCTTGAATGTACTTCACAGACAATGGCTACAGATTTTTCTGCCTTTATTTTTCTTTTCTGACTGATGAAATGTTGGATTAGATATACAAGCAGAAACAGTGATTAAATCAAGAAAGATTTTGATGGATCCCAGATTTTTGAGCCACCCCATTCTGCTTTGGCTAAAATCTATCCTTTGCTGCAATTTCTCTTCTGACTGAGACTTTTATTGAAGTTATTTTTATTTCCTGAGTAGCCCCATGTCCTTTCTCTCACAGTTTCAATTACCTCCTTTTCCATATCTCTCTCTAGTAGGGGCAACATTTTTATGGAGTCATTACACCAACTGCTCATAAAATTTCCATTAGGAAATGGCAAATAATACATATAATGTATAATATATCTTAGATAAGAACACATAATATAGATATATATCTTGACATAGTTCTCAATATTGTCGGTATAACTTAATACCTTCTAAGCTATCAATTTTATGTAAGGATTAGAACGCAATTGACATTTTTTCCAGTGAAATCTAAATAAACATACAACTGCATTCAGAAACCTACCTCAGATACCCTGAATTCCTGCCTAGGTCCAGGATTGCTTTGAATGCTCCATAGAATGGTGTAGAATGAATGTTGTCCATTCACATAAAATTCTACAAAAAGCATCCCTTATCAATCTATCAAATTCAAGCTTCCTGTCTTCCCAGCTATTAAAACAACTTGTTGCAAATTGACTTAGAGAAATTTATCACCAATACTAATTCGCTGGAGCCCATTTACACAGTCCGCTCTTTCCCTGCCACTTAATTTTGAAACAATAAGATGGGACACCACGTCCGTCTTCCTAACACCGAAATGATCACGCTTGTTGCTTTGACATATGCTGGAGGTTTTTTAAACCTTCATTATGGCTGAGAGCACGTGCTAACATTTGAAACTTCTCTAACAGTTGGTAAAACAATCATTTCAGCTCCTATGTCTATTCGACTTCCTCTACTTCTGATCAAAATGCTCCCAAAGTGTGGTATACTAGTACATCATAAGCATAGCATAAATGATATCTGTCATAATTTTTATTGCCATTAAGACATAAAAAGACCCCAGCAAATCTGTTTTGGCTCAGGAAGTTCCTAAAAGTTGAAGTTGATTTCCTTGTTCACAAAGAGCTGGGCATATGCACAAGTTACAGTTCAGACAGAACCTATTCAAGGAAGAGTTGGTTCAACCTACAACTCAAAATGCATGGAAAAGTGATAGCAAGATAGTTGGGAGATGCCTCAAAATGCCTGCAAATGCTTGCTGGTCCTGAAGAGGTGAGGGCCGAAGGTAAGACTGGGTCATGTTCAGTTGGAACTGATAAATGTATGTATCTATCCACTTAGTAGCTTCATGTTAGTTATGATCTTGCTCTTTTGAAGCAGAACTCCACTCTGCTGTTTGAGGCTGTTTTATGCTAGCTACAGATGGGCATACCACTAGTAACCTCTAGCCAAAAAAAAAAAATACACCAGGCATGTCAACACACTGTGTACAGTGCACTAAGCACATCTTAGCTGTCATAACAAATTATGAAAGAAATACCCTGTCACATGGGATGTACAACTCTTTTTAAATTACCATCTTCAGGCTTCCAGGTCTCTAAAGTGACAGACAATAGAGGTAGACAAATAACTACCTCTATTAGGTACTTTAATGTTGCTATGACAAAACACCATGACCAAAGCAACTCATAAAAGAAAGCATTTAATTTGGCTTACAGTTTCCGAGAGTTGGAGTCCACAATGATGAAGCAAAGGCATGGTAGTAGGAACAGCTGAGAGCTCACATCTTGATTCACAAGCAGAAGGCAGAGAAGGCACACTGGGATTGAAATCTCAAAACCTAACCCTCAGTAACATGCCTTCTCCAACAAGGCCATACCTCTGAATCCTTCCCAAACAGTTCTGTCCACTGGGAACCATATATTGAAACATATGAGCCTATGGGGGTCATTCTCACCCAAACCACCATATTACCCTTCTGTCTTATGTCAAAAGATACCACCTGTGACATGCAGAATTCCCAATGAAACTCAAGCTGGTCCAGTGAGTATGCCTTTCAGAAGGGATGGGATGCCTAGAATGTTAAAATGTCCTGTTGATCTAAATGCTTTACATTGAGGACCTCGTATACTTGTCACTCAGAGTACTTGTCAAAATAGGAAGGTCCTATGCTGTGCCATTTTAGGAAATCAAGGAACAATGAAGGTTAAGGCAAGACGGTTCTCCAAGATATTGTCTAGAGCAGCATCAGGACGGAATCGAGAGAAGAAGAATCCAGAATCCTGTAAATGCAGAGAGAAAAAGAGGAGCAGGGAACAAGTTTTTCAATGAGCTTGGCACAAAGAGGCAAAGAGTCAGACTAGGGAGTGGCTAGAAAGACGGAGCATGTTAAAATATCCTAAGAAGGGAAATTTGACCATACAGAGGAGGGGGACACGGTCCAAGGAGCGTGGTACTTTGGCACACACAGGGGTTACATCCAGGGTTCAGGTGGAACTACAAACTTTATATGACCACATGTCCTGTTTTCCCAGGACAGTTCTGCTTCACACCTGTTGTCCTGGAATAATTATTAATAGAATCCAGCTTTTGCTTTCTGAAGTGACTAGGCTTCCGTGATACATTATACAGCTGCTCTCCTTAGGGGCAAGAAAACTTTCTTCCTTGGAGTAAGAAGGGAAATGGAGACATTTTCCAATACGAGTCAGTTTATAAATCAGGCATTTTGGGTTTCAGAAGGCTGTTCTCATGGTCTCTGCTCCCTTTAGGGAGTAGATGGTAGGTTATCCTCTGGAAGGAGGGCATGGGGTGGGGGCAGGGGCAAGGAGAGTGGAAAGATTTTAAAATAGCTATGGGATGGGAAGGATGACTCAGAAGGAAACATGGGATTGTGGAACAACTTTAAGGTTTTAGCAGAGGACAGGCTCATGGATATGGAAGGAGGGGCCTCCTCCGCATGACTGAAGCATGGCCGAATCACGCTCCTCCCAGCGGCACCAATTTTGATCTGCTCTACAGATACATGTTGAGAAAAAGTGTGTTTACATTATGTTTAAAGGCAAGGCCTGAGTATTGGAATCTTGGCAGAAAGGAGAATAGGGCAAGAAAATACCCCCCCAAGAGAGTGAAGTTCTGAATCCAGAATCTTTATTCATGAAATTCATGTAGCTTAACATCCAAACACTGAATCCAGGTGGGTTGAGGCCTGGGCTTAAATCTTATAGCTCTAGCAGTAGGACAGATACGATGACGGGAAAGCCTTCCTGCTACAACGGTTCAGAAATTCAGAATTTTAGTGACACAGTTCACGGTGATAAATTGTCAATATTTGGACACCAGAGATCATTAGAAATTGAGCAACTTTGTTAGTAAGCTCCTAAGCAGGTTCCCCATTGCTCTGCGGCAGTGGGTGAGTTGCCCATCTCCGTCTCCCAGTCTTAAGATCCAGAGAGATGAGAAGACAAGGTTTTGGACCCCATAAGAGGTAGAAACAAACACTGAGACCCTTACTTAGGGCTGAGAAGATTAGTGATGGCAAGAGGAGCCAGGACAATTCATGGGTGTGCACAGACAGACACACACACACACAAACACACACACACACACACGTGCATTTGTATGTCTTTTTCTGAATTTTAATTATGAGAGAGTAAAAGAAAGTCTTCTTAGAAACAAATATTAAACACTCAGAACACAGAGGTATGATATTAAATCAATACAACAATGCAGTCTGGGGATCCTTGGAGCGAGAAATGAACATAAAGAGTAAGTTGTAAGTGGAAAGTTTAACAAGAAAAATGTTGAAAGTGGAAGTGCCTTCATCAGGGGACACAATAGTTTGATGGGTGAAAACACAGTAAGGATGAGCTTGCAGCATGAATTGTAGCTGTGTGGGAAGGGACTCAAGCAAGTGTGAGTCAGCACAATGAAAAGGAATGCAGTCAGCAGAATTACAGAGTATTGAACATAAATAAATATGCTCAAAGCAGTTAAAGACACAAAAGGAGGAATAGTAAAAGAAATGTATGTTTCCAGATTAAAATTCCAACCCGGAGGAG